TGTTTAGGATAGTTGTATGGAGTTTTCTTTTGCCGTGAGTTCTCTGCTGACGTATTCTCTGGAGTTCTCTGGTAGCGCGTATTATTTCGATTGAACAAGAAATTTTCTCGATAATGCCTATAAAGCAGTTTTCCCGGGGTGTAACTTCATTTAGCGATGTTTAATGGATTAATTCTTGCAGGAAGTGCTACCGGTGAAGAAATCAAGAAAGACCCGTAGAAGGAAGAAGAAAAGTTATGAACAATTTAAAAACTTCAACAGAACAACTGACATCAGTGACGATAGACTTCGGGCTTATGGCGTTAATCCGAAAAAATACAAGAACAAATTGTATCATCGGCAACAGAACAAGAATGATAGCGAATATTGAGGTTCAGTTGTTTTGTTTTGTAAAGGGCATGAACTCCTGATGCTAGTTCAAGAATGAAACCTCAAAGCATTCAAAATAAATTGAAATTAGCAGGTAGAAAAATGTATTATGAAATATAAAAATAATAAAAGATCCTATCAGGATCTTCTTGTAGAAGCATTTGTATTTGTAACCAAATGCTTCGGCGTTATATGCGGCAGCGTTTCGCATTGGAAGCGTTTCCATAACCTAGAGGTCGGTGGGTCGTAACCGCTCGCTTCTACCAGTAAAAATATGTAATGTGTGCGGGGGAGGTCTGACTTGTGTGGTATGCACGTGAGTCTGTGATGTACGAGTTATACGAGTGGTGGATTTACGGGAACCAGGTCGAACAACAAAACATGCACTTTATTATAAGCAGACACGAAGACTCAAGATGCCCGAGCCACGCCATAATGAGGGCTATCAAAAACCACTTATTACAAATTACTTTGAAACCCCGCTATGGGCAGGGATACGATCCCAGATTGCCGCGCGGGTTGCCCTCATTGAGCCGTACGAATTGAACGCACGAACAATCACAAATACGAAACAACACAAAAGGAATGATCAAGAATGGTATCAAAGCAAAGTTCAGACGTCGGCCTGAAAAGACGCATACGTCGCTCCACGGAGTCGAACGAGGGCCGAGACTGCGGTTGACCGTTCCTATTTATATAGCTGGAATGGAGTTTCCATTAGCGCCGAACGATGGCTTCTCCCATCGTTCGATTTGGGAGCGGTGCGCGATAGCAACACTTTGGCAGTTTTTTCTATCCCTCGATCTGGGAACTGGGTCTTGGATTTTCAGGGAGATATTCCTGACATGCTTTGCGTATTGTTTTAGACTGGGAGGTGTAAAGGAATCAGTGGCGTTGCAAGTCTTGGAAGTTCAACTGGGTAGAAGGGACAATGTCAGTAAAGAACATACGACCAGGGTCGGTCTTCCTCTAAGATGGGAGGCCTCAAAACGCTCAAAATAAATTGAAATTAGCAAATGAAAAAATATACTATAAAATATAAAACAGTTAAAGATCCTGTCAGGATTGTTTTGCAGAAGTACATGTAACCAGGTGCTTCGGGGTTATGCCTTGACGTAAGTGAAAATATAACGCAGTCTAGGGCCATGTTCCCAGGTCGGGAGATAAAAAAGAAAAACTGCCTTAATTATAAGCAAGCGTTACTTTCGCGCACAGTTCCCAAATCGAACGATGGGAAAAGCCATCCTGCGGCGTTAAGGAAACTCCATTCTAGGTATATAAAAGGAACGGACATCCCCAGTCTGGGCACTGGTTCGACTCTGTGAAGCGGTGTGTGCGTCTCGTCAGGCCAACTCCTGGACTTTCCTTTCGATATCTTGATCATTCCTTTTGTATTGCTTCGTATTTGCTCAGCTTGGACGTCTTGAGTTTTCGTTTCTGTTTCTAATAAAGTGTACGTGTTGTTGTTCGACCTGGTTCCCGTAAATCCACCACTCGCATAACTCCCATGTTCCAGGACATTACAGATTCACGCGCATATCGTACAAGTTA